ATAATGGATACAAGAATGATATTTGCATCTCTAATATTGTTGCGGAAAGTTTCACCCCTGGGTGTGGTCGGTGGGTCGCTGAGCCACGGAGCGATCATTGCCCCCCTTGGGAGACCAGCAGACCTTGCAATACCGAGAAGAAAGTGGCGATTACGAAGCCCGCAAAAGAACGGGCTCGTTGTAGGAATTCGGTTCACCACCATTAGTCGTCCGTACGGAAACTAGGACAAAATTCTGATAAGCTATCCTTTTAACCGGCCGGAGGTATATGTAGAAAAGTTGTGTTCTAAGCCCTTCATGAAATAACAAAGAGAAGGGCAGGAACAAGCTAGCTGCGATGGATACGCGGTCCACGGTCTGAATGTTTCTTTCGGTTCTGCATTCCGATGTTCGACTGTTTCGGTCTCGTGATTGCCTCGGATATTTTGGAAATCACATCATAGTGGGGACCTCGAGGTCTAAGGGTCCGCGTTTGGTTCGTCTTGAAGCCCACTGTCCTTCTCAGAAGTCACGCTCAATCTTCAGGGGCTACACGAGCTGTTTCCTGTTGATGCGACTTGTGTGGGACCTATTAAGGTCACACGGGGATTAGCGAATCGTCACGTGACCGTGACGCCTTAGTTGACCTCTTTGTTCTGTCGGGGTTCTTGTGATCATCTGTTGGCGTCCTGTCCCGTTCGGGGCGCCGAGCCATCTAAGCTCTTCTGACGGTCGTGATCCCCTCATAGCCTCTGTCAGATGGTCGTGATTCCTTCGCAGCTTCTAGGTCTGATGGTCGTGATTTATTCATAGCTTCTAAGTCAGATGGTCGTGATTCCCTTACAGCTCCTAACTCTCACGTGAATAGTGGAGCACGGCCCGCCTGAGCTTCAACGAGACTTCGCGGCCATCTCTTTATTCCCTTTACCTCATCTGTGGTTTTAATTTCTTCGGGGCTGCATTCCAATGTGAGGTTCTCTTACTGTAGCTGACTTGCGATAGTTACAAGCATCATCTAAAAATTATTTTGTGGAGTGATCCTGGTACCCTTGGCGTTCTCAGTAAAGTGCTGCCTTTCTGTGTGATTATTTCGGGAATGGATTTTAAAATCCATCGAATTAGGGGTTTAAAAGAAACGTTTTACCTTGTATGGAGTTTTGGACTAGCGTAACCATGAACAAGATCATAGCATAATGATATAACTGGATGTAAATATTTGCAACGAAGAAATCAAGCATACGCAAAAGTTGCGTACCGAAGCAGGGCAATTAATGTTCTGCTTCGGTAATGAAAATCATACGTTCAATATAACCCACCGAGGTATAATGGAATCAAGTTTGAGTAATGACTAAATTTATAGCAACATGACACCATCTCATACAACACGTTGCATCGGGAGGGTGCGATACAAAATAACGGGGCTGAACTTATCTGGATTGCATTGAGCCTTTAACTATTGCAGTGGCATCCAAATTTTCTCGCGGTCTTTTGGCGGTCTCTGGGCAGAATGGCGGTCTCGGGGGCCAGAGGGAGGTCTCAGTATCCCTCTGGCTATCTCGAGAGATTTCTGATTTTCTTAAATCCCTAGTCATCACTATTTACTTTTATCATACCAATATCAATCATATCACTCCAATCATATATTAACTCTAATCATAACTACTGACTCGCTCAGGAAGTCGTAACGTTGCTGCCTCTCGAACTGTTTTGGGATCTTTCAAAATCCTGGAACGCCTCTAAGCATTGTCATAGGCTCATATTTCTCAAGAAAGGTAAACCGGAATCGATTAGTTTTTATTTTGAAGGGAAACGCGACGCACGCCGTCACGTCCATTTTGTGGAGCACCAGCGCCTGCGTTGGCCTTGTTAGCTCTTAGGGGCCAGGGCACAACCGGACTTTGAGCCTGGGCTCCCACGTGGAGTCCCATGTGCTTACCACCCGGACGATTCGGCTACGCGACCCCGAATGTAACAGAAGGCTATGATATTGGCGAGAGTCACACACCATTGTTTGTCTGTAGCGCTGTTGCATGCGTCGCTGGCAGCTACAAAACGTCTACCACCCTCAAATTATAAACTGGCAATGCGCTTTTGCTTCTTGGAGGAAAAAAAAAACATTGACACATCTTGTTATGTTTCGTGACTGATTACATAACGCAGCACCCATATATGAAAGTGGCCGAGCAGGACAGCTCCTGCGACCATGTGATTTTGCTCCTCCCATTGCTCGGCAAGGCCCCCTGAAAGAGTTCAAGCATTTGTGCGCACGGGCTAGTGCAGCCTTGGCAGACGAACAGCAAGGTCTCACCGGAAAGGTCTCATGCCAGCAGTCTGGCACTCCCTTTAATGTCAGTGCGGGCCGCAATGTCAAAAAATTCACAGTTTGGATTCCATGTATGCTGTTGGAGAGAAATGTGCCTGAAGGTCCAGAAAAGATTCAAGGATCCCATAAACATGAAGCCTTATCCGATCCTGCATACACCCTTGAGCTCCAGGTCCATGTGTGCTGATAGATGAGGGCATATTCCAATTTTTCCGCCGCGTTTCAAAGAGTTAACCACAGCCATGATCATCCCACCAGCTGAATAATGCTAACACAGCATCCGTGAATCAACCGTGAGCTGTCTCACCCCTTCATGTGACAGACGTTAACGAGAAATTCTAAACAAGTGCTCAACTCATGCTCAAACCAACAAGCGCTCAACTCAACTCGCCAACTCGGGTGACCTGTGGCCCAGAGGAATGAATCCTGTATTGCCCTCTCTTTTTCTCCGTTAGTTATGATCTCCTGCTTATAATCAGCACCAGCTGCCGTCAGGACGTGAGCGATGTGAAACGCTTCCATGAAATTTGCATTACAATCGAAGCCGAAGCCCTGCAGGAGGACTTATCGCGCCTCATAGAATGCCCTTAGACATGACAACTTCAGATAGACCCATCTAAATGGCAGACACCCGAATCACATTGAAACGTCTATCCACACCGAGCAATACGCGACTGACGGGCAGGTTTCGCGGCACGCTGGCGTCATGGGGACCTGCGTGTAACGCCGAGCCTGAATTTGTAATTTAGACATCACGTTTACGTCATGGTTTCGAAGGCCAACAGAGCTCCTTTGTTGATGAGTAAGCGTTTTCATTCATGATTATGCGTTTTTGTTGATGATTTAGCACTTTGGTTAATGCTTCATTTACTGCGCACGGATGGAAAAAATGCTAAACACGAAACCACGACCGTAGTTGCGGCCTACTATTAAAACATCCAGCACATGCCTGAGCATCGTGGTATAATCTAACCCGAAACAGCAAAATCGCACCCCGAAAGCATTAAGCGGGTGGACCAAACACTTCACATGTCTCTGCTCTAGCACACATTGCACTGCTCGATCACTGGCCTATAGTAACCTACTGCCATACATTCTGTTACCTCGCTCCAGTTCAGGTCAACGAAGTCAACGAAGTTTAGTGTTTCTTGTAAGCCATTTAAAACCCAGAACCGACTCGTCCTTTTTTAAATGTGTTTGTGCGTGACTGTGCCAGCTGGTGCCACTCGGCATCCGTCTCCCTTTGGCATGTTACATGGACGTGTTGAAACTGAAAATAACCTAGTTTTGCAGATGGTTGAGACATGCAAGTGCTCCCTTACGCAAGAGTCAATTTATAGACTTTTCGGCTGTTATATCTGTAACCTGGACAAGACCTACGCTAGACACGTAAGGAACGCTGAAGAGGCAAGGGCGCAATTGGTGCGTGACATTTCAGGTTGCGTTTGTACTGTATTTGTGATGAGCCGTGGCCAAATTGTCTGGCATTTTGCTACACTGTGTTGTAGATATGCGCTCATAACATGTGACCGTAACAAAGATCTTGTTGCTACCTTTGATGATGCCGTGGATGTTGACAGAGCAGCATAGGCTTAGTTGAGCCGCCCACAACATGAAAGGTGTTTACATGCTTGCTTACAAACCCAGTAACAGCGTTATCACCATTGCGCGAATGTTAATTACCGGTATTCCGGCAATTAGCGTGATGGAGGTGATAAATGTTGGAAGGTCCTAAAAAAGCGTGAAGAAGGTCCTTGTTAAAGCCCATTCTATCACGACAGTGGTGCAACCCAGGGCGATGGGGGGGGGGGGGGAGGGGGGGGGCTCATGGGACTTCAGCTTTTTCTGTCAAGTTCCAGCGCACGTTTTCACCGCGACACTAGTAAAAAAGTTCCGGAATTTGGGGGCAAGAAAACTTTCTGTTTTTAGATCCCATATAGCCATCAGGGGCAGTAACATGCATAGTCCAACAGCCGCAGTTAAGAAACAAGACCAGCGGAAAGCCGAGTGAATTCTTGCGTTGCGCAGATATCTAAAGCAATTGTCCAAGGTACCAAGGCAAACCCACATAAATAGCTTATTAACACGCTAAGCACAAAGCCTAGAAGTGTTTGTGCGGTTTGTTGGTCTGTTCGCAGTGCGTAGGCACGGTCGGTGGGGCTGCGACACGCTCGTAAAACATTAGACCCCGTCGCAAATCATTTTAGCGCCCGACGTAACTTCTGGCCGCACCTATATGTATATATATATATATATATATATATATATATATATATATATATATATATGTATATGTCTGGTTGACGATAGGATAAAATGTTTACGTGAAACCTCACAAAATTCACAAGAATTTCCACCATCCTATTAACGTTCTCATATATACCCT